TACATTTAGAAAAGATGGGGATGTGAAAACTAAAGGTAGCGATAATAATTTTTAGAAATAATTAAGGAGACCAAGAAAGAAGGTAACAATGACAGAATTTTCATGACCCAAGCACAGGGATCTACAGAACAGATAAGATTTTGAACCCTGAGGAAGGAGAGAACTTGGAAGGCATGGGGGTAGGGGTGGGGGTACAAGGAGAGCTCCTTGTCTGAGAGCCAAGGTATCAAACTTAGGTGCAATAAAGCCTAATCTTGAAAGCCAGACTAAACAGAGGAACTAACTGTAGCAGAAAGGCACTAGGATTGCACCCCCCCAGGCCAAAGAGTTGGGAGAATCACATTCCAGAAAGATGACACATCCACAGCCCTCTCTAAACAAATCCATTGGGATCAACCTGGCTAAAAGTGTTTGTGGGGAGAGGAAGGGAGCAAAGGGAAATAGCATTGAAGAAAGGAAGAGACATGTATCAGATAGAACAAGCTTCCATCTTTATAGTCAGGTTTTGAGTGTCTTAGTTTGCTGTATTTGCCCATTTATTTTAGTTTTGTGTGCTTCATCTTTGATTACTAAAAAGTTCCTTTGATGTTGTAATTGCTGGTTAGAGGTCACTACCAAGAGGGACTGTCGTAGAACTTTAGAAAGGATGAGGGGAAAGTGATGGTAATCTTTTAGGGGAACGTCTCCCCTGGGAAGTGGGCAGACCTAGTATGGCAGGAGCTCCTTGCTATAGTCTGGGGCGCAAGCCTTTATAGGTTCATAAGGTTAATATAATTCAAATGCTAGGGAATCAGAGTGACAAGCCATCAGGTGGTTATAAGCTCTGAGAGAAGGGTCTGGGTTGTCTACATCCAAAATACCTAGCACAAAACAGGTACTTAAAGGATACTAGTTGAATTAAATTATTTGGTTTAGATAAAAAAGCTATAGCATTGTTGAATACATAACAGGTTATATTTGAATGAATAAATTAAACTCTATGTTTCCAACATTGTGCATTCCCCACCACTCACCAATATGAAATCTTCCTTTTGGTTGAGCCAGAGTCCTTAATTTCCTCCCCCCCCCAACATAAATGCCCATGTTCCTACCTGTCTGATCTGGCTTGTGCCATTTCCTCTGTCTGGAGTCCTCTTACACTCCTCTCCAGCTACCCAAAGTCCACCTGTCCTTTAAAGTCCTACTCCTTCATAAAACCTCCCAAACTTCCTAAAAAATGAGTTGAATGGCCAGACCCAAAAGGTAGTCATCAACAGCTTGATGTCTACTTGGAGGGTCTCCAAAAGGATCTGAGCTTGGCCCTGTGCTATTTAACATTTTGATGTTATTGCTTAATTTCACTGATCATTGACTTGGATAATATCATGTTGGCATCCTTCTCACATAGGCGGATGACAACAATGGATGTGGCATAGCCATCATATTGGATGATGGAGTCAGGCTCCAAAAGGATTCTGGCAGGCTAGAACAATGGAACAAACAGAATAAAATAAATTTTAATAGTGAAAAACACAAAATATTACACGGGTTAGAAAAGTCAATATTTTAAAGTATGAGAGGGGAAAGGCATGGTTAGGCAGCAGTGTGTTGTATGAAAAAGTTCTGGGAAGTTGTATAGACTGCAATCTCTATGTGAGTCAAGTGTGAAAGGGCAGATTTCAGAAGCTAATGTGATCTTGGTCTGCAATAAGAAAGCTTCCATGAATATAGAGCGAACAATCCCTCTGTACTCTGTCCTAGTCAGATTTTACTGGCAGCATTACAGTCATTTATGGACTCTACTTTAAAGAGGAAGAATACTGATAAATTAGCAAGGGGAAGGCAACCAGGATGATGAAAAGCCTTAAGAGTTCCTTCCAGTTTGGATCTCCAAAACTGGAGGCGTTAAGGAGATGTTTAGGATGTTTAGGAGACACATAAGAGTTTTATTCTGTTGGGTGAGTGCCTCATATAGCCTAACCTGTCTAGACAGACTCTGGTCATGCTTTCCTTTACTCCCCAGTCATTTCTTCTCCAGACATCTTACATGAACCATTGTGCATGAACCACTGTCTGCCCCTTGGCCACCACCCCCACCCCCCACTTCTGAAACTACAGTCAATTGAATACAGCCATTGCTATTAGTAAGGACGTTGTACAAATCTACTCCCCCATGGTTCCATTAACTATCTCCATAGATTTCAAACCAAAATGTCCTCCCTGGCCAACATTCCACTATATGTGTGGAATCCCCTTATTAGAATATAAGCTTTTTGAGGGCAGGGACTATAGTAACTTCCCATTGATATTTGTGTCCCCAGTGACCTGCACACAGTAAGCACTTAATAAGTGTTTTTTTTTCATTGTCAGTTTGCTCATCTGTAGAATGAAGGGTTGGATTAGATCAGGAAGACGTCATTTCCAGCTCTAAATCTATGTAACCATACTAGCTTCTGGGGATACAAAGACAAAACCTGAAACAGTCTGTGCCCTCAGACAATTGATATTTTACTGGGAGCAATGGGACTCTTATAAAGCCTGCCATTTATATGACATCATTTACCATGGTGATGGTCCCGTTGTCCAACTTTTTAAAAAATATTATTTTATTTTTCCCCCAACTACATGTAAAAGCAATTTGTGTTGTCTCACATTAGAGGTGCCCTGGTGATCTCTCCCCAGTGAGATAACAGATTCCTTGAGGGAATGGAGCTGTTTTATTTTTCTCATGTGCTCTCCCTAACCCTCCCTACCAGCACAGGACTGCATACAAGATGAAGAGATATGGCACAAGGAACAGAAAGAATTCTGGATTTGGAGTAAAAACACCTGGGTCCTGGTTCTGACCCTTACTAGTTTTGTGACTTTGAACAAGACACAAGCACTCTGTACCCCAGGTTTCCTTATCTGCAAAGTGAGGATAATAAATAAATACCTATTCCTATGCTAACCATTCTTGTTGTGGGGAACCAAATGAGATAATAAAGGTAAAATGCTTTGTAAACCATAAAGGGCTATATAACATCAACTAAGAACAAACACTAGCTGCTTTAAGATCTAGCACTTTCAGGAGAAAATAACACAAAAAGTTTAAAATTGCAAATGGAGGGCTTTAACTCTGAGAAGAAAACCATCCCTCCATCCACTGTGGGAAGATAATGATTGTAAACCTTAAAACACTACAGAAATGCTTACTAAGTCATTTACATATATTATCTCATTTGAATCTGAGGTAGGTGCTATTATTATCCCCATCTTATAGAAGAGGGAACTGAGGCAGACACAAGTTAAGTGACTTGCCCAGGGTAACACAGCTATTAAGCATCTGAGGCTGGATTTGAACTTGGGTCTTCCTGAATCCACTTCTAGCTCTTTTTTTTGTTTTGTTTGGTTTTTGGTTTTTTTGGGGTTTTTTTTTTTTTTGGTCAGACAATGGGGTTAAGTGACTTGCCCAGGATCATACAGCTAGTAAGTGTTATGTGTCTGAGGCCAGATTTGAACTCAGGTCCTCCTGAATCCAGGGCCAGTCCTCTAACCACTGCACCACCTAGCTACCCCCACTTCTAGCTCTTTACCAAAGGAATACGGTTTTCCGCCCCCAGTATGTAGACAAGTATTTTTAGGAACATGCAATCCAGTATATTTGGGTCCCTCTTGGCTCTACAATTTGCACCTGTGAACTCCACTCAAGAACTGTATTTTTCTGGACTATTTTGTTTCCCTGGTGACTAAAGTCTATAGTTAACAAACTCTGCTTGCCCTCAGGGCTGAAAGCCAAAAAATCAAGGGAGAGGGGAACCCAGCACAAACAGGATAAGGGTGCCAACTGTCAGGGCCCCAACAATAAGCCAAATTCCATGAAATAAACATTAAGGAGACTAGAGTGAGTGAGGCAGAAAAGCTACTTTAAAAAGAGGGAGAATGCTAGTGTTGTATCTGTGTCCTGCCGCAGAACAGAGCAAAGTCAACTCCAGTGTTTGGCTTTTCAGGACAGGATAAGCCTGCTGAGAGCTGCATCTTTGTGTTCCTCTAGGCGGATGGGGATTATACAAGATGCACAACTACTCCATTTGTTTTCATGATGGACAAAAGGAATCAGTGGCTGGTACTGAAGGCTTGCTGAAACAGGGCTCTGCTTTCATTAACGCATAAAAGGCAGTTATGAGCCACTTCACCACTAAAGGAGCTTTCTTCTTGAGAAATGCCATTTGGTACACTATAGCAAAGTTCATCAACTTTAGAGTGAGTTATCTGACGTTATTTTTTGCCTTCTAGGCAGAGAAGCATCACCCTCTGTGACGGTCTATCTTCCATACAACATTTAGCTCCAGCTCCAAGGGGGGAGCCCCATCAAAGCTGCTGTATACTGTTCAATGTAATCCGACAAATTCAAAAGAGAAAAGCACTGAAAATCACTTTAGTTTCCATATTAGTAATTTTGTTTTCTAGGTCAATTAGAGAGGAGTGTTCCAATCCTGACCCTGTCACACGTGGGCAAATCACTCTGCAGTTCTTTCTTGGTGATATAGCAGGGTTGTGAATGAAAGGAAAACATGTACCAAGTGTTTACTATGTACTGAGCACAGGACTAAGCATTAGGGATATAAAAGCCAGACAATCCTTGCCTTCAAGAAGCTTACATTCTCGCAGGGTTAGACAGATAACAAGAACAACAAAAACAACGACAACAATCGACAACTAGTTTATATAGTGCTTTGAGGTCGGTAAAGAGCTTTACATACATCATCTCATTTGAGCTTCATGACATTGTAAGGAAGATTTTATTTTCATCTGGAAGAGGAAGAAGAAAAAGAAAGAGGAGGGGAAGGGGGAGAGGAAGAGGAGGAGGAATAAAAAACAGAAGGAGAAAGAGAAGAAGAAGGAGGAAGAGCTGAAGATGAGGAAGGATTTGAACTTGGGTCTTCCTTATTCCAAGTCCAGGGCTCTGTTACTGTTACACCTAGCTGCCCCACTCTCTCTCAGATTCTAAGCTGGGGTCATGGAGTTACACCTACACATACCTTATGGAGCCACAATGGAAGGTTTTCTGAATCACCGTTCAAGGAATGCCTTTGCTGAACTGCTGCCCAGCAGTAGGAGTCCACAAAAGAAGCCTGGCGCCAGGAGAAGGAACTGGGAGAGAAGCAGCTTATCTGTGTACCTAGGAAACAAAGCACAATATTGCTAAGAACTGAAAACATCTTTGTCTGTGACAGAAAATTGCTAATATCATTGTTAATATGAAAGGAATTGTTAATACCAAATGTAATATGGACTGCCATTCCCTTGCGATGTCAGAATTTCAGTAACGTCCTTGCATTTCTGCTCTTACAATATTTACTCTCCATTAGGTTGAGCTGAGTCATACCCTAGGTCCCCCGCCCCCAGCCAGGGATGTTGCCTTGCGGGGAAGCCTGACTCAAGCTGGATCTCAGCTTCTAGTGTTCTTGCCTGCTTCCATTGGGACTCACGGCATGAATGGCAAAACAGCCAGAAACTTTCCTTGCCCAGACTGTCAAGGGCCATGGGGGTCTCAAGACCAGGCCTCGTACTGCCTCCTCCCCGTCTCCTTCTAAAACAATAAAAACCTTTTTGGGGGTCTCTTTTGTTAGAAAACTCACTTGACATCTCCCAGAGTGGCAAGTTTGCTACCTGGTTATCCCAATTTAAGACACTTTATTCCTCAACTCCTGGCTTTGATTTATTTCAGGACTTGACATGTGTAATGTATCTTCTGACTATTCATTCACTCATTCATTCCCCTAAACAGTATCCACTTCAACAGGCAACTACACAAAGCACTGCCTCGGTAGGGGTGGCTGGGGATGGGGAGAAGTTGTATGGAACAAGACTCATTAAATGTTGACAACATGGACCCTGCCAGGAATCTGACAACAGAGGAAGACAGAGCATGCCTAGCTGTTAAAGCTGGAAGAGACCTTAGCACTCAACTAATCCAACCTCCTCAAGCTACATATCCAATTAAAATTTTTCTGTCCTCACATTCCCTATGGAGAAATATTTACCCCTTACCCCCAACCTTTCAGTGGAATATGAATTCTCCGGGAGCTGAGAATTTGTATCTCTTGTCCTTTGTATTTCTAGGGCTTAGCACAAATACCTTGCACAGAATAAGGGCTTAATAAATGTTGGCTGAATTGAAATAAAGTGGTAATAAATACTAATTGCTGATATTTACATAGGGATTTAATGTTTACAAAGCATTTTACATAAATTATCTCAGTTGTTCCTCTTTAAATCCCCATTTTACAGAAGAGGAAAGTGAGTCTGAAAGAGGTAAAGTTATTTATCCAAGGTCACACAACTAGGAAGAGTGTGAGGCAGAACTTGAACTCAGGTCTTCTTGAAATTAAGGCTAGAGCTCTATCCACAACTCTTTTTTTTTTTTTTTGCTCTTAAAAGGTCTGATGTGAATAGTGTGGACCTCTCGGTCACAGTCTTCTTTCCATCATGCTAACGATGTTAGACATCATGTAATAAAGTGCTAAGATATTATCTATGTAATGAAGACAGCCTACCATCTCATCCACTGTTAACAGAGAGTACAAGGTTTTCCCCCGGTTAAGTACTTATGCTTGCTTCCATGTGCTTTGGGAGCAGTAGGCATGCCTCTTAATATGATAATTCCTGTCATATTAACATATTAAGGTTAGCTGACTAGCTAGCCTTATAACGCTGCACATTTGCAAGGGGGTTAGTCATGGGTGCCAGTTTGGGGTGAAGAAGCAGACTGTTGCTAACTGATCTCTCAAGGGATCAAGCCTAATGCCTGACTTCTTAAGTATTGTGCTCTAAGTGTGTTCAAGAATGAGAATTACATAGATGAGAAAAACTTGTGGTTTTCTAATGAATGATAAGAAGGTACGTTTTGTTTTGGTAACCTAAAACAAGGTGTTATAAGACACCACATTACCGAGGTTTTATAACAAGGGAGAAGAGGGGGTGCACCATACATGCCTACCTGCCTGTGAGGATAAGATAGCGGGTACTGGAGGGCAGTGTGAATAAGCCACACCTATGGCTAATATAAAAGCTAATCCCTTAAATAAGAAGCATTATAAATTTACATTAAGAGAAGGAAAAGGTATTGGGTAATTAGCCAATGGGGAGTCGTTTGTTGAGCACACTGAACCCTTGTTAAATCTCTCTCTTCTATAGAGGAAATTTGTCTTTTTTCTCCCAAGGAATGAGAGGGGGTCTTCTGGCCTCGCATCCTACTGTCCTTATAGGTACTGGCTGGGAAGAGGGGGGGTAGACTGACCCCCCAGATCTCTTCATGTTGCAAGTGCTTTTGACATCAGAGAGCAGAAATGAGACCCACGAATAGATGTTTCAGAAAGATATTTCAGGTCCATATGAGGATAATCTCAGAATGAGATCTGTTTAAAAAGCAGAATGGATTAAATGGTCTTAGGAAGTTGTGAATTCCCAATTATTGGAGGTATTCAAGTACTAGATGAATGAGCACTGGTCAGGTATATTCTAAAGGGAATTCTCATTTACATATGGATCATCATAGTTGTCCCTGAACTGTTTCTCACCTCTGATATTTTGTGTCTGACCAAGTGTAACTGAACAGTAAGGAGAGGAAATATATGTTCATGAAGGTCTAGTCAAAACCTGTGCAAGATAGGTCAAGTTATTGCCAGATGCGGCAGTGCGCGGCACAGCTACAGGGAAAATGGAGGCAGTCAGGTCTGACAAGCCTGGGTTTGCTTTGCAGTGGGCTATTCTCACTGAGTGTCCTCATTAAGTTTGGCATTAAGATGGTGAGCCCTTTGGGGAACGGGGGTAACAGTCCGCCCAGACAGGTGAACCAGCCCAGGTAAGAAATAGAGCAGGTTAACCTTCTATTGGCTATGAGGAGCCACTTCCACTCTGGGCAAGAAAGAGAGACCCTGCTGAGTAAGTTAGAATACCGCAGATTTACTTTTCTTCTTGCCTCAGCCCTGTGTCCCCAGGCTGCTTGTAGTTTTTTTGCTGGCTAGAAACCCAGGCAACACTCGGGCCATTGCTTGGCCCTGTATTATGCTGTAAGGATTGGCAGAGTCGGGTATAACATAACTAACAGAAAACAGACACCACCACCTCAGGGTCAGAAAGCCCTGAGTGGGCTGATGACAAGTGAAAAGTATTGCCAAGAGCATGTAAATAGCTTCTCAATTTCCTTCGTCTGGTTCAGATAAGACTTGAGTTTGGCCAATTCTTTCTTGGTATTCTGTCTCAGTATGCTGTTATTGTTGGTTCTGTTTTTAAGGAGGCTTGCTCAAAAGGGTTCTATGACTGTTTGAGCCAAGTGTCAGTGACTGTCCACTTATGAGAAAGTCTCGGTATGCATGGATCCCTATTTATTACAGGAGGCAAACAGGAAGTGGGGTAAGAAAATAGGGCAAGAATACAGGAGACCAATGGAATTGAGGTTGCCAGGATACCAGAGGGTTGATCTTCTGTGGGTGTACTCGGGTGACAACGGATACTGAATAAGGAATCATCACAGAAAAATCCTTCAATGATCTAACCATTTCCAAACAGTCATAGTCACCGTTAGCTTTTCTGGCTAACAAAATGTCTGTGGAAGATTATACTGAGGTTTTCAGAGCTTGATGGAGTATTGTCTCCATAACCTTCTTCTTTGTTTTTTTTCTTTTTAAAAATTTATATTTTCTTCTTTATTACAAACTTAAGCATGAACAAACATTTCAGTATGCGAAGAAAAACAAGAGAAGATTGTACATAAAACCATGAACTATTTCATAGTTTTAAAAAAAAGTACATATGAAATTTAACATAGTAATGACAAAGCTGTCCTATGTACATCCCCTTCTGAACTTTTTTGTTTCCTTCTGTGTAATTTTTAAAACTTTTTTGGCATCTCTATCATTATTCATAAACTCAGCCTGCCTCCAAAGTTGTCTCTTGTAACATATAAATATAGTCAATCAAAACAATTTAATACATTGGGCAGGTCTGAAAATGGAGGCCTCTTTCTACCCCTTTTTGCCAAGAAATGGGTAGAATTATTTAATCATCTTTGCATTAATCAGAGTTTTGAAATCTTTCAAAGTTGTGTTTTTCAATATTGTGGTCACTGTATAAATTGTTCTCCTGGTTCTGCTTACTTTACTCTGCATTAGTTCATACCAGTCTACCCCAGGTTCCTTTGAGATAGAAGGGGTATTTGCCATATTCATAATTTCTTACAGAGCAGCAGTATCCCATTACGTACATATGCCACAATTTGTACCAGCCATTCATTAACTGCTGGGCACTCACTTTTTTTTCCCAACTCTTAAAATTGCTGCTATAAATTTTCTGTACACATGGATCATTTCCCTGTCTTTGACATCTTTGGGGGTACATACCTACTAACAGTATCACTGGGACAACAGTCATAATTTAATGGTTTTGGAAGCGTAGTTCCAAATTCCTTTCCAGAATGGCTGGACCAATTTACAGCTCCATCTGGCTCTTTTCTCTAACACCTTTGTCAGAAAGGCACATCATTTCCACAGGAGACATCTAAAGTGAGTCAACTTGAAAATCTACTTTGCTGTACTATATACTCCTACTCGTTAGACTCTGTTCATAACAGAAAAGCAGACAATGCTTAGCATGGTCAAACATGAAATTTAAACTTGAGGAGAACAGATTTTAAAAAAAAAAAACATTTAGAAAAGCTAAGTGAGGAGGTAGCTGCTCTCCCCTGGCTTTCTGGAGTTATTTCCAAGGGTACACATAGAATGTATAGATGGGATTGTGAAGAATCATGAGTGAGTTTTGGAAAATCACCACAAAGGGAAAGGTGCCTCAAAGCAAGAGACAGGCAAGTGTCCTGATATTTCAAAGGCAAGAAAAAGGCATACACTTCAGACTCTAGGCCAGTGAGATCTATGATGAAGCCTGATCGTTTTTTGGAATGGAATATTAAGTGAGTATAGTTGATGAACTCTTGAGAAGGAAGGAGAACTGCTCTTACTAAATGCAAGCCACCAGGGCCAGATGTTCTTTTCAAAATTTTTATTATTTATTTTTAACATTCTTTTTTTAATTTTGAGTACCAAATTTCCTCCCTCCCACCCTTCTGCCAACCATTAAGAAGGCAAGCAATCGATAAACAATTATACATGTGAAATCATGCAA